GTTGTTACGAGCATTAGTATATAGCAATATTCCATTTACTTTTGCTGAAAATCCATTTTTTATTTTATTTTTAAAGTTCTTACGATCAAGCTATAGTCCACCATCAAGATATAAATTATCAAACAATATAATTCAAACAGAATATGCACGAATATTAGTAGAAATGGTTGATCGAATTAGTGAAATGTCTGATTTAACTCTTTCACTTGACGGATGGATGGATGTATCTAATAACTCTATATATGCTTTCCTTTTACATAAATTTGAAAATATTAATGAAATTATTAATATAGAAGAATTTTCTAGTATTCGGCATACAGCAAGTAATTTACTTGTTGCAATAATAAACTCATTGCAAAATGTCTCTATAGATTTTAGTAAGATTATCGCTATAGTTACTGATAATCCTTCAGTTATGATATGGCTTCAAAAGGATATTTCAGAAAAATATCAATATGTTATTGGTATTAAATGCTGCTTGCATATTTTTAATTTAATAGTAAAAGGAGTTTCATCATATCAGCAATATCAAAATACGATTAAAAAAAATTTAGTATTAGTAAATTTTTTTACTAGTTCACATTTTTGGAATGCGAAGTTAAGAAAATGGGCTTTAGAAAATAATATTAAAACTGGATTACAAACTTTTTGTGAAACCCGATGGTATTCACTTTCAAAAGTTTGTCTTTCAGTTCAATCCTATGAAAATGGGTTTCAAACTTGCCTTGAATATAATAATAATTTTCCTAATGAATGCCCTTCTCTCCCAACTAAAATCAAAGAAATAATTACAAGTCGTCGCCATTTTTTTGAAAATGAACAATTTACTACAGTTCTTCGATATATAGTTGATGCAATTGCGAAACTTGAATCTAATAATACAACTTTAGGTGATATATTTGCAGAGTTGTTATTTATTTATAAAAAGTTAAAATCAAGTGAATTTGAAGATTTTGATTATGGATTAATTGATCATGCAAAAAATATAGTCAATTTTCGAGCAAAAGAATTTGACGAACCTATATATTACTTGGCATTTTTTTTAAATCCAAAATTTCGTAAAATTGCACTATCAAAAAAATTAACTTATGATGATATTGTAGTTTATGCATTGACTTTTGCGCAAAAATGGAGCTTTACACGTGATCAAGCTACACAAATT